CAAATAAGTTCGTAATTTATCTTTGATCAACACACTCAAAGTTTTTAAAGTTTATGGGCGGAGCATATGTGGTTACATTCAGAAAAACATAGAAAATTTTGGGATCATATTTTAGATCGTTTTTTACCTATTGTTTGCACAACGTATTCTGGACATTACATCTTCTGCGCGAATTCATGTCTTTGTCATAGTTTGCGTATAGTTTCCATTGCTTATATCACTTATAAATCCCCTTTCTTTTTTGCTAAATTTGAAGTTACACCAACGACCTTTTACTGTTCGTGTTGCTGGATATTGGAATGCATTACCATTTAATCAGAAATGGTTCGACGATCTTTCAAGTATATTTAGAAAGAAATTGACCGCACCACTAATGTTGCTGGTTTTGTTGCTCGTAGGAATCGATAATTACTTACTTTATGGAGCAAGCTGATTATATTAGCAGCTATCTAGCTGACTTTTACAATCACTTATGTTACAGGTTCTCTTTGCACCTGAAATTCGTTTATATAACTAGGTAATAGGCTCGCGGCTTTGTAATTACTTAATAAATGAATAAACGTACTGAAATGAGAACAAGTAGGAACATTATAGTTTCGCAATGTCGACTCTTACATATCCTAAACTACTTCGCCTATTTCAGTTATTCGCTCGTTTTAGTAGTATTACTCCAAGAAGTACACATTATTTTCTCGCAAAGTCATAATTGTCATGAAAGCGTGCATATTGAAATGTTAGATTTTCTCTCCATATAAAAGTTTGCGTTCCGGCATGGCGCCGATATATGTTGGGGTCCAAAAAAAAATTGACCTATACAAATTCACTACCGTTAATTTTTTTTGCTGAAAAGTTATTGTGAATTATTAAAATACCATGACATATCTGATATGGAAATAGGCCCGTGTGGTTCAAATTAGGTCCACTTAATTTTTTTATTTAATTACTATCATGAGCAAATTTTGTATTACAAAAAAGTAAGCAATTAGATTTTTATATTTACGTTTCATGAGAATCCTTATATGTGGTAGTATCCAAAAAATAGACCTACGTGGTCGAAATTCGGTAAGGTAGGTTTCTTTGTCAATACTATTATGAGCTAAATTGGGAGTTCCACTTTGCGTAGGAATAGTTATATGAGAAGGGGTTACAAAATTGACTTCGTCCTTGGGCTAACACACGTCTTAAATACAAATTTACGTGGGCAGATATCAGACGGACGAACAGGTTTAGATCACTTCAGACTATATTTCCGCTTCCTCACAAATACGCACTTGAAGAATATGCCAAGAAATAATTTTTGTGTTTTAGAATAAAAATAAGAAATGTGTTAGACAATGTGGTGTATGGTATTTAATGGTCGGCCTTGCCCGAATATAATTTTCTTACTTGGCTTTATATAACATAAACAGTCAAAGCACTTGAGGTAAACAAAAAACAAATACTTTCAATTTAAGCAAGTAAAAGGTGATATCCGATAGCCGCCAATGCGGCACCTTCATCTTCAAAAAAAAGAGAAAAAATCTAAATTTTACTACGCTATAATATTGGGTAGACCTGGCTCAATTTTTGTATAGCTAATATAGCTTTCTATGTATTTAACGGCAGCTTAATTTTTGCGATTAGGAGAGTGTTTGCCGTACATATTTGACAAACGGATGCACGCTTACATGATATAGAGTTTAGAGCTAGGCGCCTAGATCGATTTCAAATTTGGTGCTAGGCTAGAATATACACGGTTTATAGGGTCCCTGTAGCGTCCTTCTGGGAGTTGCACACTTTTTGCCAAAATGAGTATATCTCAAATTTTCAGTGGTGGATATAAACATGAGCAAAATATAAATCATTCGTATTTAGAGCACGATTGACCTAAATACACGTTCTACTCGATAAATGCTTCATTGAATGTGAATACATATGAATGCTTCAGCATACGTAGTTCCAAAGATACACGCTTGCCTTTTAAGTAAATATAAATATTCAGGGAAAAGTAAATAAAACACCTTTGCGAATATAAGTGTGAACGCCGTACCATAGAACAAGCGACCACAGTAATGATGCTTTAGATGTTTATCTAACATTTACTTAGTTTTGACGTTTATTCATTTTCCATGGAATAAAGTAGAAAATGCTGCTCACGTATAATAATAATGCTTCATAGGCACTGCGTTAACTCTTGCAACCAATTCAATTTATTGTTCATTAGCTAAAGCAAATAAAAAAAATTCGCTTAGTTTTCTATTAATTATATAAATTTGATAAGTTGTAGAGCTGTTAACAAATAGGTCATGATGAAGATGATATCTTAAACAGAAAATTTCTGACGCCAAAATTGCTACCAAAAATATTTTGGAAATTTTAACTGAGATTAAATTATGTTTTTATGATGCGAAACAAATACTTCTTCTAAAAGCTCTTTACACATATGCATCTTTTATACGTTGGACTTCGCTTATGGTATGCTTTTAAGAGCTATTAGAAAAATAGCTGATCCAAAGCTTGCTTATGGTATTAAAATATATTAAGCTGATCCAAATATCTAGTTATATAGCATTTTCATGTTACCATCTCCACAAAAAAAATTAACATAAGTTAGTTGTTAAAAGGCGGTATAGTAATCAAGTACAGGCGGCTCTGCTTTAATCCAAAAATAAATTTGGCAAAACGTTAAGTAAAAAAAAAAGAAAACAAGGGAGAAATACTTTTTAAGCATTTCTTGATAACTATTACAATATCAGTATTTAAGCACGCCCACCTTTTTTAAATAACATAGCTTTCTTTAACGATTGGTTAAGTTTTCAAACCGGATATTTGAGTACGCTATGCTTTATTTTGTTTACTATTATTCTTTTGTGTTTAAGGATCCCAACGACAAACAAACATACTGCGATACAAAATTAGTTTATTTGTCTATTAAATTTTTGTTTGCTTATACAAACGTTTGGCAGTTAACGTATAAATACGTATTCTCCTAACAATTTCGTTTCTTTTCCATATTTTGTTTTTACACCCCACGTAATGTGAACGCTTATGCGTTGACGAACGCATAAATATTTTTTTATATATTATTTTGTGACCTAAAAATCTCATAAAAAATGTTGTTCGCATTTTCAACTCTCAGTACTGAGGCAGCGGTCTCATCTAATAACAATTGCCAAGTAGGACGCTGTTGTTGTGTTTTAGATACATTTCCTAAAAACATATTTTTATTATATAAAACCTACAATTTATGTTCGTGCGTTGGGTTTTCAAGAGTCTTAAATCATTCGTAAAATGTTAAAATTTACATGAAATTGATATATTGATATATTCTAATAATCATGATTAGTTTTGAAATATAGGCTTACTTTGTTTACCACTCATAATATATTTCCGCATATTTATATAGCGCTGTTGCAGCGCCTTCTTAAATTCATTTTAACTTTAAACAATTTTTTCCCAACTTTAATATATTCAGAAAATTTTTGAATCAAACAAGTATCTGTCATTCAAACTTTTGAGAGATGCTTGTTTCCTACAATAAGGGGTATTTTTAGGAACAAAATGAAAGTTTTTATCGATTGAATTAACCAAAAACAACAACTAGTTCTCAGGTCTGCAAAGCTGTTTTTAAGAAATCAATTTTATAAATTTTATTCTAATTCACATTATACAACATTTGGTATTTTCCCCCATTCTCACGGCTTGCTTAAAGTGAGAAACAAAGAAAAGAAAACAAGTATATTATAGTCTGTGAATGCCGGCTAACAATACACATTATTTTCGAGCAAAGCCTTAATGTCGTGAAAGCCCGTGTATGGGAAAGTTAGATTTTCTCTGTGTTTAAGAGTTTCCGTCTCCTGAAGGGGCTTATATAGGTTGGGGTCGAAAAAAAATGGATCCAAATACACTACCGTTAATTTTTTTGATGAAACGCTACTATGAATTAATTTTCATCACAAAATATTAAAAGTTAAGCCATGTTCCAAAAGAACTTACTACTCAGGGGATATCTTGTATAGAATGCCAAGAAATAGACCCATGTGGTTCAAATTCGGTCCAGTTCATTTTTTTATTTAGTTGCTATCGTAAACAAGTTTTAATCAGAAAAAAAATAATAACAATTAGACTCTCTTGGCATATAAGTGTTCAGGTCTCATAAGAATTCTTATAAACGACGGTACCCAAAAAATAGATCTACGTGGTCCAAATTAAGTTAGGCTACTTTCTTTGTCAATTTAATATTAAGTGAGTTAATTTTCAAAATAAAATATAAGTTCGACCTTTTTATCATATAAAGCTTCATTTTCCATAGGAACGGCTATATGAGAGGGTCTCAAAAATTGCCACAGCCGAAACAAATTTTTCCTACCAATTTAGAAAGTCAAAATACTTTTACTCAGCGACTTCTATCGAGAAGTTTTGAAATTTTTAGTTTTTTTTTTTTAAATAATTTTTCAAGAGAAGGGCTTGTATGAGGAGTGGCCGGAAAGGTGGACCGATGTGCACAATTCTCAATAGTGTTTGTGCTTGGGTCAGAGTAACTCAATATACCGAATTGCCTCAAAACATCTCGAGAATTGTGGCCGTTACTTTGCAGACAAATATCGATGGACAGACATTAGACAAACAGACAGGCAGACTGAAAGATGGTCAGACGAACAGACAAGACCAGGTCGGTTTAGAAAATGGTTCTGAATCGATGGTATAGCAAAAAATGAATCTAATTTAAGCCGCCTGGGTTTTACATACGGCCGCACAAACTTAATATACTTTATATCACCAATCAAAAATTTGAAATGTATTACATGAATTACTAAAGGCTAAGTCAGATAAATCGGGCTTTGCGTAACCCAACCACACTTAAAGAAAATTTTCTTAGTACGATCAATTAAAAACTATTTCTGCTATATCGGTGGTACGCAATTCTGGGTGATAATATAATTCAGGTGCTTTTGAATTGGAATATGAAAGTCAACCTTCATCAAAATAATTTTACTTATGTCTATGTTTCGATGTTTTAGCTCACGGATGAAGTTGTACGTAAAAAGGCCGAATATCAAAAGCATCTCGAGGGTTACAAAGCATTAAGGACGCGTTTCGAAGAGCATTATATAAAATGTAAGTGAAAAACAAAAATGTGTAGAAAACAAAAAAAGACATTGTTTGCCCACTTATGTGTTAAATATTAGCTGGGCGTGGTGGTCGTAAATTGGATGATGTACGAGACAAATATCAAAAAGCCTGCCGTAAGTTACATTTAACCCACAACGAATACGTTCTCTCCATTACCGAGGCCGTCGAAGTCGAAAAAGATTTTCGTAATATTTTGCTGCCGGGATTACTGGAACATCAACAATCAGTGCAAGAAAGCTTCATATTGTTATGGAAGAATATTTTGCAAGAAGCCAGCCAACATGGTGATCTGACCAGCGATAAATTCAAAGAGATACAAAAACGTATTGATAATGTGATAAGTAGTGTAAATCCCAATGAAGAGTATCGAGAGTTCACTGAAAAGCATAGGTTTGAGAAGAAATATGTTCATAAAAATTATAATGCAACTAATAAACTGATTTTTTAGAACATCCCCGACAAGTCCAGTAGTATTCCAGTTCGATGAAGCACTTATTGGAGATATACCTGGCAAGCTGCAGTCGAGTACTTTAGCGGTAGATAATCTAACTGTCGATTGGTTGAGAACACGCCTCCTAGATCTGGAGTTGTCTGTTAAGGATTGTCAGGAAAAGCAATTGAAAATGATTGAACACGTTGACGCAGGCGCGCCGGTTACAGCCAATGGTAGCTTAAGCTCAAATGGCACTAACGGAATGCAATCCAGTAAAGAAAGTCAACAGTAGGGTTTATAAGAAAATGCTTTAGTAAATTTTACGATTTATAATAATTTTTAAATTGCAGCCGCCAGTGCAAGGATCTAAATGCTTTGCGCTGTCAAGAAAAACAAAAGCAGAAATTAGTGGATATGATTAAGTTTGCTTTAAACGAAGTAGGCTGCGAAGAATTACCCTCTGGTTGTGATGATCATCTAACTTTAGATCAAAATTTTATAGAAGATAGCTTCAACAATCATCAACAGGTAGGTGCTTAGTAGCGGAAAGATTTAAGGGTATAGGTGTATGGGAACGTTTTTTAATTAGATAGATATATTAAGGTTATGGTTAATCTTCGTACTTTTTGCAAATGCACTGTCGATAATATTTGCAAAACGAAGTTGTGGAGAACTGCTGTCCGTTGGCGGTAATGCACGGAGAAATTAAGATTAAAATTTACTTGAAATGCTTCATACATCGCTTCGTGCACATGATTTATATTTATGCAAGTAGCGCAACATACGTAGTTGTCTAAATATAATGTCAAACGTTTACACTCCGCCTACTTTAATTATTTTGTTTTGCCGGTTTTGGGCAAACCATTAACCTTATTTAATTGACTGTTTATGAGAGTTTTAGTGTAAATACTGGCGGACAGACGTGGACACCAACTGCGTAATTCATTTATGTCAAGGCTATGGGTATATTATGGAGACTGCATTGCGTATTTCAATCCTTTACGAACGTTGGAAAAATCTAATGCACTCATACGTGTTGTTAAAAACGATTTTTGAAAGCTCTAACATTTTCAATAATTTGAAACAAGTACCCCTAAGCTCCACCAAATAATTAGTAATCTCCACTGTTCAGATTTCTAGTCTGATCATGGTAAGGCAACTTTTAACGATTTGGCATAACTATGTCATAATAAATAATGATGCAAATTCAAGAAAGTAATGGGATGTTTGTACTTTTCTTCTATATTTTATTTCTATCCTTGTTTAAAAAAAAAATCTTAATACCCGCTATTTAATATCTTCCGTGTTTCCATTCCAAAACTAACCTAAAATTTGCAAAACTCATCGGCAGAATTCTAATTCAACAAGCGTAAGTATAATGAATGAACTAAAACGACGTGGCGGTGTTTTAACATTACTTAGAGGTCGACATTTTAAACGTAAATCTACACCCCAACCCACCACACCAATGACGGCGTGCCGAACAAAACGTTTCAACACAAAGATGAAACCACGCTCACAAAGTCTGGGATCATTGTCGGTAATATGTCCTAATACTCCCTATAGATATGAGCCCATTTTTACTAACGTACCCCTGCGCATGGCTGCCAGTGATGAAGCGAATAACAATCAAGATTTTCTGCATGACCTAAGTGAACTCAAAGAGGATATGTATTCTTTGAAATTTGTGCCTTCTAAGCTAAGACGCAGTTTAAGTCATGGCTCAGTTTGTGTTCAAGTTGACGTTGTTCGTGTTGTCGCTGAAATGCGCGACGATAATAATACTAACTCGCATTCAATGGCTATGAATAACAATCACATTTATGCTGAATTAGATTTAAAAGAAGAAAGGGAGGTAAATCAAGAAAAATTAAATGAAATGAAACAACATATCAATCCAACCTTAGAGAGGACTTCTACTGCCAAAAAAAAAGAAAAAGAACAAATAAAAAAAATAAAAGAAAATATGCCGAACCAAAAGAAAATTAACGAGCAAATTAAACAGAAAAGCTTTGAAGAAAAGTCGAAAACATCAGCTATAGTTTCAGAAGTTATGCAAAACTCCATAGATGCTCATTTGGATAAAATCGATGCGCTCAATCGGGCTTTGGACAATCGTTTAAAATGCGCTGCCTCACCTCAGCAAGAAACTGACTTGGACGCCATAGAATTTGCAGAATTGCAAGATGTGGTCGCCCGTTCGTCAAATGACACTAATCAAACAAGCAATAAACGCGTTTCCACCTCGAATTCGGATAAAGAAATTCGCATTAGCGATGCCGTCTCTTATAATGTAATTGATAATAAAACTAAAAAACGATCACTGTCATTTTCGCAAAAGTCCATAAATGCATTATTATGTAACATTAAAGAATTCTCTAAAAGTCCTTTAACTAAAATACACAGATCGCACGATAGCAAAGATAGTTTTCCCGGAAGTCCTGAAACGTCTTTCGCGAATTTACAAAAGTCTCATAACGAGATTAAATCAAATACAGAAGTGGGAGAAGTTAACCCACAAAAACTTTCGACTACTTTACCTCCGCCGGAAAATCACTCGGTTTTTTTAAACAATGCCATAGAACCACTTCACAAACATTTGGAACACACCTGCATAGTAATGTCTAATCCGTCCAAAATTGACACAAATTTAATTACCTCAAAACTGAAATTTAAAGTGCCGAAAATACAAAAAAAATCTAAAGCTCTAAGGCAAACATTCCGCAGTAAATTCTTGCATTTCCAATTAAAACGTGATAATCTATGTCGGACATGCACAAAAAAACGACGCATATATCCCAGTAAGAGTGTTTTTGATTTCGCTAAAGAATTCAACTTAGACGGGAAAAGTGAAGATAATGAAGAATTTTGTACATGTCCTCGATCTTATCACAGTGTTCCAAAAATTATGCAAAACAAAACGGGCGTTGGTGATGATACCGTTGACGATGACAATAGTAGTGATGACGTTTTAAGCATTAAAGATCATTGCTATTGTGTGCCAAGTTTATCGACGAGTGTGAGTAATGGTTGTTTGAAAAATTCTGCATCTCACTATAAACTTACATGCAACGCACCTCAGTTGAATCTGCTATTTACTTCCTCATCTAATAGTTTCATGTGCACTTTAGTTGTAAACCGTCGTCATTACTCAAACAGTCATTAATAAAACAACATTTTTTATTTATTGTTCTAAATTGCAAATTCCTTACGAAATTACTTCAGATGTGAAGTGGTTGGAAAAATATCGTTACGACATTTAAGGAAAAGAAAATATATATGTGTTGAAATAATTCTTTTATATTTCCGTAGCATGCCTAATTCTAATTATTGTTTTTTTTTGTCACTTATCTAATTTAAGCGCCGTTCAGATTATTTGCATGACTTCATTTAACTGCTTAATATTATTATAATGTAAACGTATAATTGTATGAATTTTTCACTAAGCGTGTGTGTTCAAATGTTAGCTCTTTGAAAATATGACTTTTAATGATATGTTTCACGTTGGTATGTGAGATTCTGAAACTATAATCATCTCTTCCCCAATTTACTATGAAGCAAATTGACGTTTGTAAGTTAGATTTCATAGTGAACAATATTTGCCTTACGGAGCAGTAGTAAAGTAATACTTTAAATAAATTTAAGAAACGCAAAATTGTTCTGTTGTTGTTGTTATTAGATACACAAGCAGTGAAGATATTCGCTTGTAAATATTTTGCGAAGTATTTTGCTGACAAATATTCCCACTGAATATGAACTATTAACGATTTAGTCAATATGTTCGAGCAACGCTGTCTAATATTAAACGAATCGAATTAACCTAAACATGGATACTTCTTTGTTGAAATGTTACAAGTTCGAAGTCATTCCGAAAATAAAGAGAACTCTTCTTTATGCAATGTTATTGCTCTTCAATTTTCTTAAACTAACAATGACAAATACGAAATGAAACGTGAGAAAAATAATAAAAAAAAAAAAAAATTGATATATAGAAGCAAGACCAGGACGAACTTCGAACATCGTGTACATAACGCTATTAAATGAGAATTAAAAATGGCACATTTGGATAAAGCTGAACGACTGAGCTATCCAATGAGCGCGAAGGTACATCTGAATCAATCAAGTTTGGTTTGCTTTAGATAAGCAATTTATTAAATAAGCCGTGTACAGGCATCTGCCTCTCAAATGTATACAATCAATTGGTTTCATTCTTCTTCTTCCGAAGTGAAAATTTATGTTCAATAGTTTTTCTAAAGAACAATTAATTAGCGGTGTCTGGTACTGCTGCATATCGATCAAAAATCGATAAATAAAAGATTTGGGTATAACAAACGGGAAGTAAGTTTGTAGATTTTTGAAATCCACCCCATCAAACTTATACGTAAGAATCTTAAACAAGGTTTTAAACGATTATTTGCGTGTCGGTTGGTTAATCGGAAGCTTTTCTAATTTCAGTTCATTCCGCTATTTATATCAATTTTTAACCTTATTTATTCTATAGGCAAATTCAAATATCTTCTCTGATCATTGATTAAAAATGTATATGCAGAGCTTATCTTAATCTTTGAGCGGTCTTTCACCAGTTGACTCTTAGACAATAAACTTTCGTAGTGTCTGATGTATATTAGCAGGACAATTATAGCATTATTGACCTCCGATGGCAAGTATAAAAAATATGAATACTTCTAGTCAGCGGTGTGGTTACAGTTGTTCGCAAATTTCACTTAGTGAATCGAAGCACAGAAAAGCTAAATGTTCTACCGAAAGTCTCTGCAAGAAAAAAGGGGGGAAATTGTCAAACCCTGATCGCAGGCGTCAATGTACGCACTAAATAACCTGTTATTGTAGTTTAACCTTAGATGCAAGAAAACTATCTTAAAAATTTATGCGCATTTAAATCCAATTGTTTTAGATATTTGGAATATTCTCCCCTTTTAAGTTGATTGTATAACGCTTCCAGCATGTTCTGAATAAACCTTCGCTTAATGATTAGGCAAAATAGTTATAAAACTTACCAAAGTTATTTTCAAATTATTATTACTTCTATCGTTTTTTAACACAGATGTCTTTAACCACAAATCGTCCTCTTTATGAGGAAGAATGGTTTCATGGTGTTTTACCGCGTGAAGAAGTTGTGCGGCTTCTTAACAATGAAGGTGATTTTTTGGTTCGCGAAACTATCAGAAACGAAGAAAGCCAAATCGTTTTAAGTGTATGTTGGAACGGCCATAAGCATTTTATTGTTCAGACCACTGCAGATGGTCATTTTCGTTTTGAGGGTCCACCATTCCCCAGTATTCAAGAACTTATCATGCATCAGTATCAATCAGAATTGCCTGTTACCGTAAAATCCGGGGCCATATTGCGAAGACCGATTTGTCGTGAACGTTGGGAGCTAAGCAACGATGACGTGGTTCTCTTAGAGAAAATTGGCCGGGTTCGTATTAGTTAGCACAGCTCTTAAGAGCTGAAATCATAAATGGCTTATTTTGAATTCTATTTAAATGTAGGGTAATTTCGGTGATGTTTATAAAGCTAAACTAAAATCGTCCAGTTTAGATGTAGCCGTTAAAACATGTCGCATGACTCTACCCGATGAACAAAAACGGAAATTCCTGCAAGAGTAAGTAAATTCCTGTACAAACTTCAACTAATCAAATATGATATAATAATATTATAATATAATAATATACTTATGTCCTAGAGGTCGCATTCTTAAGCAATACGATCATCCTAATATTGTTAAATTAATCGGCATATGTGTGCAAAAACAACCTATTATGATTGTCATGGAATTGGTACCGGGTAAGTATAAATTTTATTTCAAATCCATATTTTTCACTACATATTCTTTTCCTTGCAGGTGGCTCTCTATTAAATAATTTAAGGAAAAATTCGAATCATTTAACAATACGACAGCAGATGGGTATGTGTCGTGATGCGGCTGCGGGTATGTGAAAACAGTCTTTTACTTATTGTATAGCGTTTAAAACCGATATTAACTGGATACCAGCGGGAATCTGAATGAATATACATAGAACGGTATGTTCTATTTCTTAGTCCAACCCAACTTTGACTAAAATACAATATCATTTTGCGTCATTGCATAGCAATATGTACAAATACACCACAGGGTTTGTATCGGGTGCATCTTGCATAACTCAGCCGTTCCTGAAGTATTCTAATATAGTTATTTAAATGAACCCAGGCTTTATTCGTTTTCGTCATTGAACAGAGAAATACTTCTCTCTAGAGAAAAGAGTTCCATAATACCAATTTTCATAAAGTCTCTCTCACCATCTAAAGCTGTGCAGCCTTCATCTAAATCTACTATCTTCGCATATCTTATATGCATATAATTTGCAATTAAATAAATTTAAAGATAAATACAATTTCTAAGCAATTTAATATTTTATAAAACAAAACTAATTAATAGTGTGTGTGTAACGCGTATCTTTCGTTCCAGGCATGCGTTATTTAGAATCTAGAAACTGTATACACCGTGACTTAGCGGCTCGCAATTGCTTAGTGGATTTTGAAAACTGTGTGAAAATATCGGATTTTGGTATGTCAAGAGAGGAAGAGGAGTATATAGGTAAAAGTTACAAAACAACCTCCATTACAAAGTCGTTTTAAATGAATATATTGTTGAATATGTGTTGGGCCATGATAATAGTGTCTGACGGGATGAAACAAATTCCAGTTAAATGGACGGCGCCGGAAGCCCTAAATTTCGGCAAATATACTTCATTATGTGATGTCTGGTCTTATGGGATATTAATGTGGGAGATTTTTTCACGAGGTGATACACCCTACTCAGGCATGAGCAACTCAAGAGCTAGAGAACGAATTGACGCAGGTAACTTAAGGAACAATTAAAAGTAATTTCGATTTGAATATTAAATAAATTATATAAATAGGTTATCGAATGCCGGCACCCGAAAATACTCCGCCCGAAATGTACCGCTTAATGTTAAAATGTTGGTCAGCTGAACCAGAATCTCGTCCACATTTCGATGAAATTTTCAATGTAGTCGATGCACTGATTTTACGTTTAGATAATAGTCATTAAATCCATTTAAAATACGACGACAACAGAATCATATATATACTAACTAAATTAACGATTCATGTATTATATACGTGTATATTTAAGTCAAACCAAACGTTGAATCAAACTGAACGTAACTGTATTACAACGAATATGGAACACAATATTTTCTCGGCTGTCCATTTGACACGTATACATGTACATACATGTTTAATATATAATGATACACTAAATATTATTATTTATATAAAACGGTAAAATATTTAATTTTTTTGTGTGTAAACATCCAACCATTAATAAAAAAATGTGGAAAAATTAAAATCCCTGTTTATTTTTTTAATGCTGTTTACAGTACAATGTCCAGAAAAAGTTGTTGAAAAGAAAATGTAATAATAAACTTTCTTTCCCCTTCTAAGTGGCAGAATGCGTTAAAAATCACACCAATTTTATTTTAAACTACCTTATTTATTATTCCAATTTGTGTTTTGAATTCATATGAAACAAAATAATTCCTTAAAATATGTACATATTCAATCGTGGATCTACACTTAAATATAATTTATTTAAATTAATTTGCCTAGTTATGCTCTTAATATCTGCTTGGATAAGTATACATGAACAAAAAACATGTGCACAATATTATTTTCTGATTGAGATCAAATCCAAGTAGTTTAGTGGTTGAGTTAACAAAAGAAGAGTTCATATTCTTCTGCATACGCTCAAAATTCTACTCGTTTATTTTTCTGTTTTACATTAAAGTAAATGTTACACCTTTTGATTGTTTATACTTTAACTGTGCTTCAATTATCTATGTATGTGCATATTTCATATTACCCTTATTACCAGTGTATTGTATTTTCTTCTTAATTTATCTATAAATTTCAAATTATTAATAAAACTTAATGAAAATGAACGAGGAACTCCTTCTTTGCTTTAGGTGAAGATTTTGCAATTGTCTACTGGAAAGTATCTGAAACAATCTGAGCAAAACAGAGAAAAAAGGTTAAAAGTGATTTTATAAACCGGTTCCGAAGTTTTTTATTTCTTCTATATCTAAATCAACAATTTCCGAAGAATTGTGATTTTCCTCCGGTGGCATATTATCGGTAACTGGTTGTATAACCATACAACCTACGTAGTTAATTTTCAACGGACCATACATCGAGCTAAACATCGATGAAGATGGTGAATAGGATGATTGCTAATCGCGCGCGTTGTGATTGATGGTGTTAAAAGATGAGTCAACGTACTCGCCATAAAAAATATCAGAATCAAAAATATTCATTAATATTGTGGCTAAGTTTCAAATGGATTCAGGGAGTCTTTCTTTTGACAGCTCTTTAATTACATTAATGGCTGTGATAAGATTTTATGTTCCTTTCATATATTATTATTATTTATTATTATTTTAATTTTAGACTAATGAATTAAATTCTTAGACTAAAAAAAAGACATTGAGCACTAGCAACACAGGCTATCGGCTCTCCTTTCATATAATCGCAATTTATGTTTTTATAATTACTGTTCTGCAATAAGTTTCCCCATCCCTGTGGGTATTGTGGACTTAAGTTACTGAATTTAACTGTATTTGATAGTGAAACAGAAAGCATTTGTTGTATTAATCTAGCAGATTTATCAATAGCCACGATTATTGATAACTGCGTTGCAAGAAGAGGAGTTAGTGACACCGGTTGGACATCCATCTTTGTTAATATTAGATATATTAGGAGCGATTTTCTGTACATCTTCAATATGTAAGACGAAACCGTATTCTGCTACTTTTATGGTGCCGTAAAATACATCTGGATGATTCCAAATCTTACAACACATAATGAAAGCCCTCAAAGGATTCGGTATGTTTCTCGTTCGCACTACAAGGTTTATGCCGTCAATGCTCCTTAGCGTATCGATTGAGTCTGCACAAAAACCATTACGTGTAGGCCTTTTTAACATATTTCTTGAATAATTGGGCCTGACAACGTCACCATGCACCAACATTCCGCTACTTTATTTTGAAATGGATGGCCAGTCAAAACATTGCGTCAGCTTGTAACATGTTTGTTATGTCTGCATTTCGGTTTTCGCCGCTGATATATACCAAGTTTTCATTTCAATCTGATACGATTTCTACACCGTTTGTATTGTTATCTGCCCGATATTCATTTTCTTTGTGGATATTATAATTTCCACATATTCTAATGCCTTTACCACATCCGATGTTTGCATGTTTTTGAATGGACCGCGGCCGTTCGCGGATTTTAAATTTACTATAATCTGATCGTTAAGTACAGTAAATGCATCCAACGGACTTGAAGAGTTTTCATTAAAGAGTAGATTTTTCAGTGCAACCGAAATATTTGAAAATTCATTATTTTCGTCAATCTCATTAAACAAAAGATGCATTAGATATTTATCAGAGGGCTCTCTAGAATATTTTAAAAGAAATTATTTTCATAAACATAGATGTATATAGCCACATAAGACAGGAATGTTATCATAATTTGAGTATACTGAGTGTTTAACCGTACATAGAGGTAAAACTTATTGCAAACAAAGTCTTTTAATCCAAATTGTTATGCTATATAATGTTTGAAAACCCACGTTATCTTTATCTTTTACATCAACAGGAAAATTGCACAGAAGCATGTTGAAATTGGTGATCAGGCTTCCATCGAAAACACAGAATTTCGACATCTGGTATCATTGCGTTTTGCATTGCGTCGTAAGCGCAGCCTTCAATGCAATCCTCCTCTTTATTACAATTTATTTTTCAGCCAATGCAAAAATCGTCGAGATTTATTGTTATCACTTTCTTTTCCTCCATTTTTTTAAGTTAATTTCTATAAGTTGAAGCTATTCTACAGACAAACTTTTTTGCGGTAAGCAATGGTTTCGGTAAGTGGAAGTTTAAACACATCCTCATAAAACTTATGAAAATGCTTATATATGCATGTAATGCATATATGCAAATGGCTTTCTCTACATCGCACTCGCTACTTTCAGTTTTCTCCTTGCTAATGGCTTCTGAGAAGACCTTAGCTTGATTGCTGGCCGAGCAAGTATTTCGTACGTGAAGTAATATTCAATCAATTTTTGTTTTAAAACTCCACTTTCTTTCTTAAGTGGTTCATTTTCTTTATTGGATCCTTCGTTTTAGTTTCTTCAATTTACAATTTCGTGTTGCAAAAATTCTTCTTCATTACTTACAATCACATTTCATTAGTTTGAATTATATTTCCACTTTTCGGAAATTGGATGGGATTTCGTGATAATACATTTCCATTTTTCGGAAATTGAATTGCATTTTGATTATCTGGACTGCGATACCTTAAACCTGTCGTTAATCGTTTTGGTGTTAATGTGATATCGTCGTCCATCTCATCCACCATTTCATCCGTTTTGTCCACATCCATTTGTTCCATTTCTCTCACGTCTTTTTTTGAAGGACCATTTTTTCAGACGTGCCTAGATAAAGTGTTAAGACCGCATCTAAGCACTTGGATACGCACTACGGATACGCACCTACGAAATGTAATTTTTTTATTTGGTTATATTTAAGAATCAGGTTTTGCAGTTATATAATTACAGATATGTTTCCTTCGTCTTCTTTCTGTAATCAGCTTAATTGCCATATCTGAGTTTCATGTGTTTTTTTATTAAATAAAATAAAATGATTGAATTGCTTAAATACTTATACTTTAAATGGTTTCGAAGGAGGGAGATTTGCGGAGAAATTGAGTTAAAAGCTAAAATCTTGAAATTTGATTGTTTTATATGAAGAATAGAAAAAAAGAATTTCGTTAGAAATTGTGCAGGGGCAAAGAATTTTCCTCTGTTTTTAGCGTGTGTGCGTCTAGTGTATGTTTGTACGCAAGAGTAAACTTTTTTGTTCGAAGATACGCGTAGTGGTTAATATAAAAGTGTAATCACTTTCTTTTTAAGTACTGAAAACTTGTTGGTCCGTTGAGTTTTTTAGTGAAAAATTTTGCAATTCAAAATATGGATGAAACAACGTTCGAGGTAAATAGAAGACGGGTTTTGACAATCGAATAAAAAATTCATGTGATAAAAATTCTTTTTAATTGCAAATTTCACTTGAAACGGGACGCTGCCATATTTATTATTTCTTCAATTCCAGTAAGGCGTTCGCAAGAGAATATATAGGACATTGATGCTTCCCGGCAGCCTGGAACAGCAGGACAATTTGTCAATTTAAATACCATCAGTGAGAGAAGCAAGCGCAACTTTCTTTTTGAAATTTTTTTTTTTCAAACACTATACAATTTCATTTGTAGTTTTCAACCCTTTTCTTTATTTTTTCATAGATTGGGCACAGCCCTACAATGGACACTTGCTACAGAAGTTATCCATTAATGCCGCCCGCCATTTTTCGTAATCAAGCTAATTATAAATATTTTAGTAAGAGGTTTGGAGAAAAAGACAACTTATACTTAACTCTAAACGAAATTGATGATTATTTCCTGCAACCTAAACAGAAAGCTGATCGGAATGGAATCGGAAGTAAAACTACTTTAGATCCTCGTAACAAAAAAGAAGTAGCTAAAGTTTGTTACGATTACACCACTCATACCGTACGCCATAAACCTTATATTTTTTATTCAAAATCGCCGTCCACTATGAACTGCTACACGCACGCTTTCGGTGTGAGAATTGTAAAGGCCCTACAAGATTGTATATCTCTAAATGATGAAGACTTTTACAAGTGGAACTCTCTAAGAGCCATAAGATCAAAAGAAGATTCACAATTTCAAAAATTTGTTTTTGATTATCAAGAAAAAAACAAAGAGCAATTATATCTACAAACCAAAACATTGACTCAACTATATAAGCAATGGTACGACGAAAAAATTAAAATGTTGAAAGCCCGTATCCCCGCTAGGGCATACAGCGCACATTTAGGTTTGCCTCATATAAGAGTTTGCAAAGCATTTTTAACAGACCAAATTTCCGAGATTTCAGAACCTAACTTAATAAGCCATAAAGGTTATATAAGAAGGGTTAACAAGGAAGAAACATTAAGCTATGAAGTTCTTGCACGTAATATAGTAAAATATGCCCAAGACTACAACAATTCTTTGGAAGAAGAGAATCTTATGCAGCTGTCCTTGCAAGACGACTTTCTCAGCAATTTAAAACAACGAGAAACTTCTTTACATACGTTTTACATACCACTGGAAACGATAATGTTTCTTTTAACTGCAGGTGATTATGTAGATTTACCTACAGAAGTGCTTTTCGAAATAAAAAAAATAGAGCCAGACATGGAAAATAGTTCCAAATTAGTAATAATGGAAGAACCGTTGCCCTCAAGAGTGTGTGGTTGGCATACTCATAAAAAAGTTGTGGAGCAAGCTGTTCTGGCACTATTATCAAATGAAGAAAAACAACAAGATGTACCTTTGAAACGCAAATTAATCGCAGGGAATACAAACGATGATTTAAAAAGAGAAGGTACTCTAGCTAATTGTCTTGAATATAGATTGGTAGATATTGAAACTTACATGAGATCGTTCGAAGTTAATAAAACGAGTGCGTGTAAATTTTCAAAAATGCTAGCAAGGTGGACCTTAAAAACCGTTGAAAGTGTAACTAACCCTGAAATATACACATCCATGGATGTGCCGAGCGGCATAGATGAACAGAGCCATATGACCACAATTAAAATGGAATATAAAACCAGGTTTGGCTGCGAAATTTTGACAAAATATGAAATGTTACGCGAATGGTTTCGCTTGAAATTGATGAAGCACCCCCAAATAATTTGCTGCAGATTAGATGTTAACACTTATCAAACTGTGGCCCAAGAGACCCTCACTTTGGAGCGTTTAGAAAAATCTCTGTTTACCAGATATAACTTAAATATGGCACAAATATTATATAATTTAAGCGAGTTTCTTAAATTGCTGCTTACCATGCCGAACAGTTTCTACATGCTTCGCTACAATCCGAAATTTAAAGATAAGGTAATATTGTGTCGATCGTCTGAACAAGAAACCCAAAATACTGTTTACTTACATGAATTGTTGCAAACAAATCCCTCGGACCTGGCCTTTATATCACAACAGAATTACTTGCCTATTGCAAATGACGTATGTAGTTCAATGCATTTGAAACACAAAGTAATTCCATGTGCTTTTCGACCATTTTCAACGTTTGCGAAAAGTCGCCAAAAGGCTCTCAAAAGGTTAGCAAAGCCACTAAACGATCGGGATTTAATCTTGAAAAAGGCTTCTGGGAAAAAAGCAATAAAGTTACGCGAGAGTGCAACTAAGAAAAATAAAACGAGAAAACGACGAAGGGAAGGGCGTCTGAAATTTGCTAATCAGGAAAAAGAAAGGATGGACCTTCAAAAAGAAATTGAAAGTGATCGAATGTTTTTTGTTAATTAATATGCGCATATTGATCGAGTGTCTCTCGACCCCCTCCAAAGTTGGCTAAAGTGTGCAGAAAATCCTCCGGAGCAATAAAAAAGGTAACGCGAAGACACAAAATTGCATTAAGAGAAATCTGAAAAAAAAGAGAAAAGGAAAGAGATCCAAGAAGAAATTGAATATTAACAAGAGCCCCTTGTCAACCTAACCTTAAAATAAAATTTCAAAAATGTTGGACGAATGTTGGATTGTTATGTAGACTTTTATTTTTCATATGTATATTTGCATTTTGTCTCTTTCCTCAGATTGTGTCCTAGTTTATGCTTAGTTTAGCAAAGTCTTCAGCGGAAACCATCTCGACGTCTTTGTAGGCAGGTGGTTCCTTTTCTTGCCAAACCTCCGACCCCTCTTGCGGCAAATTTGCCAGCGGGAATATATGAACCGATAAATCGTTAAACACATTATTTACCTCATAATCATCCTCTAATGGCAATTCGACGGCGTACGACATTATGTCTAATATATAGTTGGAATCCAGTCTTAATAAACGCTCCGGTTTACTACAGGACAAGCTTTCGAAACTATTATTTATCAAAATGATATTTTTTAAATGTTTTCTCCGCCAATTACGCCATAATAGATTATTCGTTAGACAATTAGGGCAATGCGGCAAGTAGAACAATGTTTGCATATCGGCTTCGTATTTGGCTTCACAATTATCGGCCATTACCAAGCAATCTAACCGCTGCAATACACTTTTTTCACATTTCCGGAAGACCGGATCAAAGAAGATCGCCTCTTTAATTGAAAAATGCTTTTGAATGCATAAAATGAATGCCAGTTGATGGAGGGCTTGATAACTTCGGGTGAATGAACCGATTCCAAAGCAGACTACACGTTTTGGATTATTATCTCTCGTTTGGCAAATCGTTTTTAGTTTTATCAAAGCCTCCCCAAGTGTAACCAAGGCTTGCGCGAAATACTCACTATCTGTCATACGTTCACGTAGAGTAGTAAGCCGCCTACAGGTTCATAGAGCACTTATTAGATTAGCAGAGTTAATTTCAAATATTTATAACCAACCTTAAAAATGTTTCCTCATCCACTTCTGCCGACTCGGGCAAGTCCTTATGTAATTTTTTTTGATCATTACTCATACACTACAATGATATAACAATAAAATATAGATAGTAGAAAAAATGGGCTACGCTCACTTAATATTATAGGATATCGAGAATTATTTTTTTTCGAGTGGAGCTGTAAAGAAAATAACTGCTTCGTGCGTCTAAAAAACTGACTTTCCTTGCCTTACGACTATAAAAATTGCATTATTTTTGGGTTGTTATGCAATCATAATATGATTATTAAACATGCTCTTTTTAATAAAATTTTATGTTAAAAAGTTTCGGCAAAGTGTTGGGTCGATATGTTGCTATATGCAGCCGTTTCCTTACACAATTTATTGCATGCCCGCAAGTAAATCGAACCGTTTCCTTTCCCCCCATTCTTCAAACTTTTTCGTATTGTGTTTTCAAATTTTTGTAGATTTGCCTTCTTGGAGGAAATTTGATGGAACTGGGTTGTTTCAATAAAAAACGTAGGCATTAAAGATGGTTAGTCTGTTTTGAACCAAATCAACGGCGACACGGACTTATAAACAATTCAACCAGCAAAAAAAATCCCCTTCGCAATGTAAACAAAAATTGACAATCAAAACAGTCACGTACTTTATTGCGTATAATCCATTTTTTGCGTGTAACTTTGCAAAATTCATCATTCATTTTTTATCAAGCAATAAAGTAAAATTGTTTAGTTCTGTTGTACATAAAGTATCGTTAGAAATTACTATATTTTTTTGGATATAAAATGAACATGGATTAAGTGAGATATATGGACAATTATTATATATGAATATATATTCTGCGCACAAGTCTAAGAATTCTAAATTTTTTTTTTATTTACACTGATAAAAGCCAAGGATGCCAATGCATGAGTTAAGTTTCAATTTGTATAGTTGCCAGGCATAAATCAGATTTAGGTTTTATTTTTTCAATTACAAGAAAAGTTTTTCCTACTAAAAGCTAAAATTACCTTCTATATTATTATAAAATCTTTTCCGAAAACTATTTCTAATATTCCCAAATTTGACATAATATTAACTCGTAATACTATGCCCGATGAAAAGGGGTGGCAGAATCGATATATTCACGACCTTCGACGGCCTCTGTTTATGTGTAATTATTTCGTAATATTCTTTGATCCAACGATAATATTTGTTTTACTGTTGTTGCATAAACCCGAAAAATTGATTAGAAAGTGTAGAAAATTTGCTTTTTAATTAGAAGAGTATTTAAATATTTTTTTTTTGAATTGATTCAGAAGAACAATGTCCTCTGGGACAAAGTCTCAGAAAAGTTGCAAAAAAGCGACAAAGGCGGTCCATGTTTTTTGTTTTGTTTATTATTAAAAGAAGTAAGAAATTTTTGCTTACAAAGTATGGTCATATTAGTTTCATGATACGTTTTGCTACAGAAGCTACATTTATCTTAGACCATCGACACTTTCCTCGAAGGCGTTGTTCATTTTAATCATCAGTGACACGTTAGTGTGCAAGAAAAATGCTTTACAGAAAAATTAATTAGTTAATGAAAACATTTAGGATTTTATTGAATGGCAGATTGTTAACTGCAACAATGTTTAAATGGCTACTATGCACAAAATACGATGTCATTTACGTATGTAGGATAAGCTGGAAATATTATGACATTTTTACAAAATATATTATTCATAATCTCGACGCAGTGCTAATTCAGACACGTAAAGCATATTGTAAGCATGGCATTTATTGCTTGAGATATCCTATTTAAATTATTTAAAGGCAAACCATGGAATTGAAAAAAAATATTTTATGTAGACTTTTAATTTTTTATATACACTTAGTGTTTGAAATTATTAAGCAGTAGATAGAGCTTCCATTATAATTGTAACGCCGTAATGTTAACGCGCAAAACCGGAGATATTAACATATGTTAAAATCAGTGGTAAGTTAAGATTTTTCTAAAAGCAGTGCTAAGAATTAAGATATGTTAAAAGTTATGCTAAGATATAAGTTGTGTTGGAAGCGCTTGTAACATATTGGATGTATAATTATAGGAGAGCCTAGTTATCGAGCTATGAAAATTATTATTAAAAATTGTCAAAAATTTCTAATATCAAAACTTTATATTAAGAATTTCATCGCCATAACATTTGTCAAGAATAGTGGATAGCTTACAGTTAAAGCAACCGTAACTTAGTGAAAAAGGTTATAATAATGACAACAACTAAAAAAAGACAACTTTAAGATATGATATATGTATGATATGTGCAGTAGTGTTTTTTTTTAATTGAGCTATGAGAAGATGTTTAATGAGCTGGAAGCCATATAGGAAATAACGGATAAAACTTGACCGGAATTTATACGTCAGAGATCTTTCTGCGAGCACTAATTTGTTGAATCGATTGTGTTAAAAATATCTTCAGAAAAGCCGAGAGAAGCAGAAAAGAGAGACAAAGGAAAAATTAGAGTGCGAGCGTTTTTTTCGAAACGTAGAAACTGGTTTTCTTGTTGTTTTTCGACTTGTTGTTCATCTTTCAGTTTCTTGTCGTCTCTATAAGCTCCGTGCAGATTGTAAATGAGTTGCAAAATTTCATTTGTGAGATCAGTTTCGAGTTGTGAAGTGTTGTTTGGCGGCAGACAAAAATTTCAGAAGAAAATTGAATTGCAAAATTTCAGAGCTGCTTTTCTTTTTATGTATTGCGCGTATCTGTGTTCGTAAATGTTTAGTGTTTGCTTTTGTTTCATATTTCACAATAAAACAATTATGGTTGAAACGTCATAAATGCATTTATATGTATATAAATATACTTTCAAGTGCAGTTGCTGTAATTTATTGAAATTATAACCCACTTTTCTTTAGAAGCGAAGAAAGACCTCCTTATGGAAAACCAAAAAAGAAGAATTAGTAATCGAAATAATAAAAATGTTACTACAAATAACGCTACAAAAGCGAAATAAACTCTTATGTCGATTGCTATACGGTTTCAATGTTTAACCCATTTTAATTTCGAAGCTTTTTGATTTGTGAAGAAATGAATATGCAAAAGTAGCTTAAACGAGTTAACTTAACTTAAAATGTGCTGTATACATTGTTCGTGCTAAAAAACGATTATAAAATATCAGGATTTTCATACAAAAATTCACAAAACGAAAAAGAAGTACGGAAATATTGCATATTTTCGAAATAACTTTCTTCAAAATTTTGTGTGAAATACATATGATTTTTGTACAAAATTAATTTTTTTCTTTATTTGAAGAAAAACTTTGAGTAACATTCGACCGAACATTTTATTTCTCAACCTGTATGTTAGTGAAATTCCGTTTATATATTTCTCCATCAAATTATTGAAATCACTATAAAGGTAAGCAGAAAAATGTGAATATTTGGATATTCATCGACAAAAAATGTAGATTTATTAGTTTGTCATTCCATTTGCAACACAAAAGAAGCCGTTTGTATGCTCGATATTATTCGAACGAATTCGCTTGTCAAACGTTTCCTTCTAATGCGCCTTAATGCTTTTATAATTGGCTATCTGGTCAAATCTTCAAATTCCTTAACGTGTGACTTGATAAGCAACGAATAGTTCGTTGGGTTCGCACGTCAATAGTATGCCAAATTGTGACAAGATCACAAAATATTGGGAGGGCAAACTTGTCTGCGATTGTATGTATGTTTTCGTACATATGTTTGCAGTCAGCTATGTTTTAATTTGCTTTATTAAAAAGAGCATAACATAGCTCATAAATAATAACACCAGAGCAAAAATCAGCTTCAAAGAAGAACTGAACATTTTGCAACAAATTTATCATCTTGAAAATTTGTCGTAGCTACTTAAGTATTCGTTTAACAAACGACATCATTTGCTCTACTCGCCGAAAACGATCCGTTGAAAGGTACACGCCATGCGACGAATCATTGTTTTTTATCACATTAAATCAACGCACAAAAATTACATGGTATTTTCATAAACGCGGGCATGCCACTCAATAGAGAGCGATCACATTACTTCTACGGTTGGCGTTCTAGTGGCCAAATAATTCGCAGAGATCTCTCTCAATTTTTTCTACCTGTAGTATTCTAATAGCGCAACAGAACAGAAACGCACTAGGTTAAAACGCCCTTCGTCAATTGATATACTTTATTGAGTTTCATATGTCTATTTTTGAAAGCTGCAAAGTTACATTTTCATTTTCTGGTTACATATAATTTCCAAATGCTTAACTAAAAATATATTTGCATAACGCTCTCTCCGCTTGCAGATATAAACATCTAATTGCCCAAAATATGAAAGTTTCATAGAAACTTCTTTAGTAAGCTTGCCTTAGTATCGATTGATTTTTCTATCAACTTTACAAAAGTACGAAAGACAATTAGAACTTTTATATGACAAAAAAGATATACTAAATATTTCCTAATTTTATAATCACCATGAGACATAAACTTTCAAAAAAATAAAACAACACTAAAAAGTCGAATCCACCTCAGCATAGCACATGCAACACACACAACGTCAGAGAATTTTTTTAAAGTGCATAGCAGTTGAGCACGTGAATATTAAAGATTTGAACAAACGACTATAGAGACATGAGCTGATACATCGCTTCAAATTTTAGCGGTGCATCAAATTGTATTTCAACGAAATACGAGCAAAAGCTTCGTGTCTGTGCATACATTTAAATGTGGCTTTGACATAAGTGTAGAAAATTTCAATTAGAGAAAAATTTTTAATATAGTGGTAATGATCCCATACAGAAATGAAAAGGTATTATAAGTACCGACTTTTATGTGAATAACAAAACAGTCGATAAAAGTTTGCTGTATAAAATACAATCTATGCATCGCTCTTACGATACCCCCTGTAAAGCGCTATGAAATTTTCCAAAGTATTATCTATTTACAAAACGAATCTCATTAATTTTTTTTATCTTTGTACTTACTTTTGCAGATTTAGAAAACTGGAAAGCATCTAAAGTACATGTTTTTTGCTAAATATATTAATAAGAGATAAAATATACTCGGAATTTTGCACTTAGAGAAATCCATAGGCTTGACAATCCTGCGAGCAGAAAATAACTGCGAACGGCATTTTACATTAAAAATATACACGTCCTAATTCGTATTTAGCAATGGCGCGAAGGCTTTGATATCTATCAACTATTCTGCCGCATCCAAAAAAAAAAAAAAATCGAACTACAATATAATTAGACATCAAGCTTTATATGTATATACGAGAAAATGTTATACTTCATTAAGTTTCACAGTAGACAAAGTCGCGAGCAAAATGCCGGTTTTTCTAAATAAATGGAATTAACGATCAACGATCGCATTAAATTCGGTTTTAATAAGAAGTTTTGACATAACTCAAGCATGAGCTTCCCTTTTGTTATAGTTGCTTGCAAAACCTTTGCTAGAAAGCTTAAATTTCAAATAAATTTGCTTTTTTGAAGTCTACCGAATGAGGGGTTTAATCTGCTCATCAGGAAGTTATACTTTTAAAAACTGAAACTGATGCAACATCGGAAGTTTTCTGCAAAGTTCATTAAGCTTTCATCTGCATGTGAAAGCCCATTGGAAACTCCTTAGGCAATAAAATTTTTCAACATATGGCAGGTCTAAATAGATTAAAACGAATTAAAAATTGCCGTCCATTGCTGTCAGAGTTAATTTTTAATTTTAATTTGCCGAAGACAGATTAGATAAATAGCCGAAATTTTAAAGGAAAGAATTTTCGGTGAGCACGGAGTTTTCTGTGGTTACATATACAACATAAAGAAAAACCTGTATTAACACATATTACGCACAAAGAAAAATTTGTTTCATTTCAGTAATATTTTCCTCGTGCTTTCGCAATAAAAAGTAGGAAAAAAAGAAAAAAAAGAGAAACAATAAACAAACGAATAGCAAGGAGTTTCACTTAACAACCACTTTCGCTGCCAAATATGACTAAATATTTAAGATCAACAGACATTTGCGTGCTTACATTTATTATGAAAATAACAATAGCAAAGCGTAAACATATTAAAACAGGTGGAGCTAATCAATGAATTGAGCGAATAGTTTCTTAGATATCATCTGTTGTTGCTACGTCTTTAGATAGGGTAGATCACATACATATACACATACACATATGCCCTCATAAGACCGGTCAAATATTAAACTCGGCTTTGTGTACATGTGTATATTGGCACAACAGTGAAATTTCGACATTTATTGCATAACAAATTATATTGTATGATAAATGGCGTTACGTCTGGTACGTAGTCCAAATGCGAAACGGTTTATTCAAATAATTTCGTTAGAGTGAAAAAAAGCAACGAAACTACTTCCCCATTTCATGAATTCCACAAAAAAAATTTGAAAGGGGAGTCTGTTTTCTTTGATTAATTATGGGACAAGTGTCCATATTGTTTTCCGTGCAAATATACACTAAATATAACGCAATTTCCCCATATTTTTTAACAGCTATGGGCATATTACCTGCATTAAAAACCAATGCGTAATATTTTATCTTTGAAGAAAGCCAGATCAATGCTTATTTTTCGTAAAGCTCCTTTAGTTTAATAAATTAAAAAGAAAATTGTTATAATATTTAAAATTTAATCACTCAGCTTGCGTGTTGTACTTGTTTGTCAAGAGTTTTCATATTTTATAAACCGTTAGAAGTTTGTGCTTTTTCTTTCGTGCTTGTTTCAAATTTGTTATTGCAATTTGAAATATAAAGGAACATTTTTGCACATTAAAAGTTCTTTTCTGCGCTTTGAGTGGATTTTTTGTTTTTATTTCTGTTAAATCAATGTTTGCTCTCAAAATAAATGCTTAGCACATTGCTTCATTATAATATTTTCGTTGAAAGAAAAATAAAAACAAAGCGGACCTGTAATATTCACTGATGTGTTTACATAAAACTAAATGGTTTTTGGATAATAAGAAGAATAAACAAATATTCCGATCCTTGCTTTGTATTTGCCCTTGAAGCTTATATAAAAAGTACCAAATGAGATTGCCAAACGAGCACTAAATAATGTGTTCACGCCTACGTTATATAAAGCTCGTATATACACAAATATATTTATGGCAAAAGTTTAACCACTTTAACATCATTGAAAATAAATCATTATTAAATCGTATATAAAAGCGCGTAAGACCACTTACTGCATACTATTTAGGCATGATTACCTTTAAAACGCTTTATTGCATGATTAAGACAGCGTACCCGCAAAGTAGCCTTAATAATCCGTAACAACATACTAGAAAAACTTTTGGATAAATAATTCCAACAAAAACAATTCTTAAATTTCAGCACACTACAAGATTTTTGGTTGTTCTTTACTGAATCGGTGTCCATATGTTGAAAAGTACGTAAAAAGTGAGGACCATTTGAGACGAATGAGGAAATCATGTACTAGGAGTAAAATAATTTAACAAAAATTTTAATGAACAATATAAAAAAAAGAGACAGAAATGTTCATATTATAACAATTTATTACATAGCAAAATTGTAAAAAAGGTGAATGCGGCAAGCATAGAAAGCAATTTGCAATTGCTATTGTTGCTGTCTATGTTTCGAAACTTGTACGAAACATTACTCCAGCTTTTCTTGTGTTATAAAGCTTGAGTATTTTCAGCTAGTTTTCGTTCGTTGTATCGAATATTGTGCAATACGTTGGTCTGACTTGTTTTTGTTGTTATTGCTACATGTTCAACAAGGCTTTTGCATGCAGCTAATTTCACTTTAAGCTATTTAAAGTCATTTGGCGTTTTCTTCCATTGTTTTCTTTTATCTTTTATAACGAAGAAATGAAAAAATCAAATGCTTACCTATGAAACAGAGAGTTCAGTATCCAACCACGTGGCATTTATTCATACCCATCACACAAGGATGAGAGGTGTATTCATTTTGTCTTTAGAGACCATATAAAATATACATATTTTTGATCAGCATCAAATTCGGAATCAATTTTAACATGCCCATCTGTTCGTCTGGGTAATGTCTGTTGTCAACACTCTTTTAGCCTGAAAAATGAGACAATTGGTTTCAAATTTCGCAGAAATATAGGAAATTCTTTGTTTTGCGTAAGGAAAAAAATTAATTTTTGGCCCATCACTTAAAACCTACTACAGATGGACCAATAAACATTTGAGGAGAGGACATTCTATTGGCGATGCTACAATACCATACAAAAATGCAAATACGGAATACAATACAGAAAGAAAAAAAAAGGCCTCGCTTACGTAATATAATAGCGTGTCAAAATTTCATTTTCCTCTAAAAACCTTTATATCGGCACGAAATAAGCTTCAAAGATCCTATAAATTATATAAAAGCGTGACCAGTTCGAATTCGGAATGAATGTGTGA